TTTTTGTTTGTTCTGACAGCACTGAACGGGGCGCCAGTTGAAGTTATCAATTAGAAGCTTATCGGCAGTCGGTTTGTAATTACGAACGTCACGGCGCCGGGCCGGCCAACAGCGCCTTCGACCGCAGTCTGTCAGCCGGGGCAGACTGGAACAACACCTATGCATCTTAGGCGCAAATCCGCTCGGACTGCGGGTGACAGGGCGGCTTTTCTGGAGCCGTTCTCCCGGCACAAATCCGGCGCGAAGGCGCACACCGCCCCCGACACGCCGCTGTTGTAGCGGCATATGATGCGGCCGTCCTGATCAGACCCGGACGTCGCGATGCGGCGCGTCACACCTCGTGCTAGTCGAGGCTATCGGGACGGGCCCGATCCTCGTGGCGACCGTCCCCGATCTCGCCGTGCCTTATACAATTACCGGTTTCGGTTGGCTTAAGGCCCCGGCGAAGGCACGTCCGCTTAGTATTTGGAGACTTAGAATATATTGTGAACGTTAAAATCGTGCTTTTGTTTTTGGACAATCCCCTATTATTGTTGCAGCTGAAATTCCATGTAACTGATTTCGATAACAATTCCTGTATGATGACTATCTTTGACAGCAGTGCCCACCTGAGGATATTTATGAGCAGTCAGGGGCATCGAACCTGATATCTCTCTCTGCTGTGCCCGATACCACCAATGCCTAGCGACTCGCTCCCGTAATGACGCGAATCACGGTCCATCGATAAGCCCGATTTCTCAGGAGCGTCACAGCTCGGCCATCCATCATCGCGACGGATACCCGATCCCTGGCGCCCGCGGCGCCGCCTGGGCACCACGCCGGGAGCCGGACGACTCTCCGCGGCAGGCGGTGGCCGGCGGGCGGGGGCGGTTGGTCGGGGTGACCCGCTGCAGGCGACCCTGTGGTGAGCGGGCGAGCAGCCTGGGCAGGCAGGAGGGTAGGCAGGCGGAGAGGAGGCGTGAGGCGGGGTGGGAGGAGGGGGAGGCCGGTGCAGCCTAAGGTCACGGACTATGTCCGCTGTGTTCGACAAGCACTGTGTCAGCAATGTCTGATACGTGCTGTGTCTGCGATGTCCGGCACGTGCTGTGAGGGAGTACATGTACACGAGCCGGCCGTTAGCCTAATTTGCAGCCGAAATTATGGCCTCGTAGTTGTTATGGGACTTAATCATGTGCTTAAGGGTGTTGAATAAGTCGCACCTGGTTCAAATGCCAGTTTTTGCAGCTTTAAACAAACCCACTGAGCATTCCTGCGCTGAATCCATGAATCCTCGAAGACCCGACACCTGGCTGATACAAGATCACCACGCAGGCCGCACCGCTCGCTTGCTCCACTTCTCGATCTCGGCCCTGCCTGCTCTCGCATCCCCGCCCCTCATCTCCTTCGAGACGAGCGTGCCTGGCCAGCGGCCAGCGCAGGTGTCCCGGTCCGTGTCGGGACAGGTGGCGACCCACCGGCGGCGCAGGGACAGGTGGCCGCGCCGGTGACCCCGCGTCCGTGCTGCCCGGTCAGCCGCCGTTTAAAGGGCGCCCGCCTCGGCCCAAGGTCGACCGGGGGCTGGCGGCACGCCGCACGACCCAGGGGCAGGTGCGCGCCGCGGCGGCAGCAGGCCGCGCGTTTTTGTCGGCCGATTTGTTTCAGGCCCAAGCTGGCCGACAACGCACCTGCGTCGGCACCATTTGCGTACTTGGCGCTGCGCGGCCGTTGTCAGATGAAGGCAAATTACAGGGCATTTGGTCGTTTCTGGCCTTGGCAGGTGAGATTGCGGAGAAGTCGTGCGCCGATCTAGTGGCCCGGCAGATTGTTTTAAATTAGTGCACTTACATGATAGCGCAGGATGCCACGTGCCATGTCGTAATGGCTCGGTGATAGATGGGTCATGGGCGAGTGTGGAGCTAAGCCGTCGTAACGCCGTGAGCTATGATCTACAGTTCTTGTCTTGGCTCGTTCCGAATTCCACATGCACGTCTTGGCTACCTAAAGGTTCAACATAACATGCAATTTTACTAGTGTCAAATTCCACATGAATATTCTGCATGCATTTCCACTCACAATATGTACTGAGAACTCGCCTTTGTGCCACAGAAATGCCGCCACTCAGCGCTCATATGAGGACACAAAATCGCATGAAAGGTGTCGCCCTTGTGTCGTAAACTGGTGATTTTTCTAAAGGATTTATTATTTATCAAGCTGACCCGTATCATTTTTTGATCGGTCAGCTCACTGCAAACTTCCCATAGTCCCCATTTTTGCAACCTTACTGAAGATGCAAGGAAAAATTGACTGCGAAACAAACGACTCAGGCGCAATGCATAATCATTTGACTTCCCAAATAGGACACAAAGTGGACCTGAATCCAACTCAGATTTGTTAAAATATAACTTATACATCCAGCATCCATGTCCCTCGTTCACGACATTATTTGATCACGATTTAGTGTTATGAGCCGTGATCTTCCCCAATCGCACTGTGCCAGATGTCGCTGGCAATGTCTGCAGACACGCACATCCATTTCCTGCCGTTCGCATGACTATTTAGGTCGAACTCGGGTCACTGAACGTTTTCTTGCCATAAAATACATGAAGTCATTTGATATTCTATTTTTTATGTAGGTACGTACTTGTGATTTCAGCACAACAACTACGGCAAATTAGTGCATTTACCCCATATTTCAAGTGATAAACCACAATTCTGACATTACAGACTTTTGTGAAACATTGCCCTACACTATTATAAGCTGCCAGCTTCATGAATATGACGCAAATCCTTTGCTATTACATGCATGAAAAACTATGACGCAATGGCACATTAAGATGTGTTGCTACCATAAGGTAAAAAGCTACAATTTCCTCACAAACAGGCTTCTTCATCGTTGGTACCCATTGTTATTTGAGGCGACTTTTACACCAGCAAAGCGAGAAATAAACAAGACCAAGAGCGCCACATGATATTCCATTTGAAGCCTGCAATGGAAGATATCGATAGCAGTTTTAAACGTTGAAAATGTGTCGCACGGTCTTCTGGCGGCTGCAGACGGAATGGTCGGGGCTTGGCGGGGCATCCAAAACTCGCATTCCTTCGCTCAGCCTTCACTCCTTCGCTCAGCCTTCACTCCTTCGCTCAGCCTTCACTCCTTCGCTCAGCCGTCACTCTCACTCCTTCGCTCAGCCTTCACTCCTTCGCTCAGCCTTCACTCCCTTCCGCTTCAGCCTTCACTCCTTCGCTCAGCCTTCACTCCTTCGCTCAGCCTTCAGCTCCTTCGGCTCAGCCTTCACTCCTTCACTCAGTCCTTCATTCCTTCGCACTCAGCATTCACTCCTCGCTCAGGCCGTCACTCCTTCGCTCAGGCCTTCACTCCCTTCGCTCAGCCTTCACTCCTTCGCTCAGCCCTTCACTCCTCGCTCCGCCTTCACCTCCTTCGCTCAGCCTTCACTCCTTCGTCCGAGCCTTCACTCCTTCGCTCAGCCTTCACTCCTTTCGCTCAGCCTTGTTCGAACTAGCAGCTATAGCAGTGGCAGTCGCTCTAAATTAAGGCAGAGGGAATGGCCGTCCAACGTCAGAAAATGAAAAAAGTTATCGGCCAGTGCGGATGGCAAACGGTATAATTTGAGTGTTTTTAATAGTCCACACCGTGTTCCTTTGACCAACACTTAAAGCTCCCACCAACTCTTAACAATAACTTGCAACGTGTTTTCCGTGGATGATGTTGCTTATGCCTGAGTGAATAAAGACTCATTAGTTCTGAAGAAACTGTTCATTACATGACGTGAAGGCTGGCAGAAGAACTGTCAGTTATTCGCCTGCAGGAAGACGGGCAAGTGAGAAGTAAGGTGGACGAAGGTACAGGTCACTAGAATAAGGCGTAAGACGGAAGAGGGTAGGTACCTTCAACTGGTTATGAAGGATCCGTTGGATGGAACGCGGTGCTTAGCAAATCTCAGCATGGGGCTTACTAAATCCATGTTGTCAACATCGCAAAGTTAGAGGCAATCTAGCTGATCTGACAAAATGTTGAGGATTATACTAATGTTTTGTGCAGGATTTTCACACAACGTGCAATGCCACCTCTATATGCACAAATATCAAATTCTCCTTATAAGTCTAGTTTGAAGAAACAAACAATTCCATAGGTTTTAAATGCTGCTCCATTCGGGCCTAAGAAATCTTAAAGTGATCTCAAAATCTGGCCGATGTTTAAAACAGCCTTAGTTTAGGAAACGCTCGCAGTTAATTTTAGGTCCAGCCAAGCCCAAGACAGTGAGACTTGCACAAATGAGAGGGAGCAATCTTACCTAAATTGGTGTCTGCGAAAAACGCTCGTTCTCAGCTATCTTAAGTGCTTTCTGCTTAGAAGAATTCTCCAACCAGCATTGGGCAACAAGGGTCCATGTTGCAAGATTGTGGGAGTGCTATTCCCTCCTGCAATGGCTGCATTAATGCCTACATTATGATGCATAGCTGCCTATCCATCAGGAATCAAGATGGCAGGCTATACGAATAATACAAACAGTTTTAAGGATAGGTATTTTGACGCACTTTATAAAGATGAAAACAACGCTAGCCCTTTAGGTGTATTTGTGCATCTACGGTTCCGTCAAAAACGAGATTATTTCAAGACCGTGAGAGAAACGTGTTCACGAAATACAATTGATCAGTGCTTGCTTGTTGCAGTGTCGTGTTCGCGAATTCCTTGTGTCATGTGATTTGAACGAGCACGTCGCGGTTGATAACATTACTACACCTAATCCACCATTTAAGTAGCTATAGACGTTGCCTCAAAAGCATGAACTGTCATTGCTGATGGTCTCTACAATTAAATGCTATCACCGAAAGTCCGTTGGCATGGCGTCGTAAGATTATCTAGCTCAATAAAAAAAGAGTTCGACGTTGCTGAAGGAGACACGTGTTCGTGATACGTCTCAATCCATTCGGATTTGTTGAGCCGTTGTCGTCCCTGCGGCTTTATAAGGCACTCAGCTGCTGAGCCTACATGGCGTCGCCTACGTCTCACTCTGACAAGAAGGGCGGGCACCGTGTGGAATTGAGCCTCACACCTCCGGCTTGATAGACGCACTGCTTGACCATCACACTATCAGCAGCCCTAGAGCTGAAGGTTTGCTCAGTATGATTTCTGATTACAAGGTACCTTGGTTTTTGGTTTTGGGTTTGATGAAATTGGTCTTGGTTTGCGTTTGAAATTGCGCATTACTGCGCCAGTAATCCAAACAATTTGAACGAGCCCCAAAAAGCACAGGCTTGCATTCGCATAGCTGTCAGTTTCAACAAATAATATTCCCCATGACACGACAATTTAATTACAAGATGGTTTTTTCAAGGGCATAACCATTGTCATTTATAGTAAATGTACTGTTTCTCCATTATTTTCAGTTTTACCATTGGTGCAGGAACCAGGGCAGGGGTGCACGGAGAGGACGATGGTCCTCCCATTTTTTTGAGGCATTGAAAAGTCAAGCCTTTGGTAGCATATGCAAATTGTTGAAAAAAGGGTTTAGTTCTTTTTCTTTTCCCGGGCACCCGCGTGCTTTTGATTTTTGAGAATGTCACTTTATCAAAATTACTCACACGTTCCCTATTTTTCGTCGAGCAGTGTACCATCACGAATGAAGAACACGAAGCATTTTCCAGAGACCGGTGAGCGCGTGCAGCCCCTTCACACCTTCGTTATCTCTGTGGGCCTCAGCCTCTGCTCGGACGCAAACACGGCCCACAAAAACCGGGCGTTAAAATGATACATAATTGGACCCCATTACATACCTAAGGGTGCCGGAATTGATGAAGTTATTAAGAACACGATTACGGCTGCGCGTTCGTTTGTCGCCGGCAAAAAGGCGCATTTAAGGAGCGGAGCCTATTGAGCCGGGCGAGCGGGGCGCCTACTGGGCCGACCCCGGCGCCACCGGAGCCGCGGAAGCCGCCCCCGGCTCCGTTTCTGGCTCCCGCCGCGCCGGCCGCCCGCTCTGGGCGCGTGGAGCAACGGTCGCTGGCCTGTGACCGGTTGAGGGCTAGTTGGCGGTCTGTTACTGCTGCCGGCAGAGCTGGCTGCTGTTTTGTAGTGATGATGAATGCCTGGTCACTGGATGAACGCTTGGTCGCTGGCTGTTGTTTTGTAGTGCTGATGAATGCCTGGTCACTGGCTGGTGTTTTGTAGCGATGATGAATGCCTGGTCACTGGCTGGTGTTTTGTAGTGATGATGAACGCTTGGTCACTGGCTGGTGTTTTGTAGTGATGATGAACGCCCGGTCACTGTTGGTGTTTTGTAGTGATGATGAACGCTTGGTCACTGGCTGCTGTTTTGTAGTGATGATGAACGCCCGGTCACTGGCTGGTGTTTTGTAGTGATGATGAACGCCCGGTCACTGGCTGGTGTTTTGTAGTGATGATGAACGCCCGGTCACTGGCTGGTGTTATGTAGTGATGATGAACGCCCGGTCACTGGCTGGTGTTTTGTGGTGATGATGAACACATGGTCACTGGCTGGTGCTACGTAGTGATGATGAACGCATGGTCACTGGCTGGTGTTTTGTGGTGATGATGAACGCTTGGTCAATGACTGGTGTTTTGTAGTGATAATGAATGCCTGGTCACTGGCTGGTGTTATGCAGTATGATGTACGTGTGTTCAATGTTTTCTCATCTCTTTGCGCGGTGTCGCGGCCTCATTTGCGGTGCACAGATGATTAAGTTCAGGAAACGTCCTCTATCTCCTCGAGATAGAAAACTACGTGGAGTTTCTCCCTAGATTCTGGGGTTGCGTTCCGTCCATGTTCGTTTCGTCTAATGGCCTCGAACTTCGTTCCACGATGTCTTGTTTACTAAAATGATTATTTTTTTACTGGTTTGGTCGGTGTATTGTGACACATGCCTCCATTAAAATATTGCGGCTGTGCTGGACCCTTTCGTGCTTATTTGAGATCTATATCACCTTTGGAGCGTTTTTCAACCGTTCAACCTTATGATTTTCATTGGGATCTCTCTTTTCCGGTGCTTCCGTTCGTCTTCAGCTATCCTCACAAACATTTTTTTCATTGTTCTCTGCTTTACACTGTCTTTTTTCATTCAATTAAGGTGCTCCCTCACCTCCAAACTTTGAGATCCATCGATATAATACTTTTCCGGAGTGAATCTGTCCATCTCGTCGAAGCCGTCTGTAAAGAACATGCGAGAGTTCCTCTTAATTGTCTCTCCGGCAGTGCCAGCATTCAACGTCAAGCCAAAACGATGCATGCTTACGCAATTCAAGTGTTTTTAGACGTCACGTATAGCCACAAGACGAGCGGATAGGCCGCCCAGCGGGGATGGAGACCCAGTAATAGATCGAGGGGATAGGGAGCTCCTGCCGCAGAGCCAGACCGCAAAGCGCACTGTTACTTGCTACGCCCGGGCGCAGGTTCCCACCTTGGTTGGTTGCCAAGAGCCCGCGCCAGCACCAAGTTCGCCGAGATGACCTCGGCAGCATACTATGGTTGGTGGAAGGCTGCTTCTACCCCGCATTACTTATAATCACGCCACATGGGCTCTTTACATTACCGCCAATTGTTCTAAGTGTCGTCAGCCAGTTCTGCGTTCTGGGTATATTAAGTTATGCATATGATTTTTTTTCACTTTTCCGGTCTGAGCCCTGTGTGGTGGTTTCTTAAGAGTTCGGCTTAGGAGTAATCCCCACACGAGGATAAAAAGTAGAGTAAAGGAGAGGTAAGAGCAGGAAAAAGCTGGGCACTCCCACCCGGGTCTCCGTATTCACCGCTCGAGAACTGGCTAACCGTTACCTGGGGTCAGAGGGTCTATGTAAAGGGAATATAAAGTTTAAGTTCAGGCTTAGATAAAGGGATACAGTTATAAAGCCAAGATGTGCAGGAGCTCTTCGACACCCTAGCCTGGTGCTCATCATAGAGACCAGCCGTGGGACGGAGCGGGAGGGGAGACGTCGAGGTTTTCCCTTCACCAGCTCTCACAATTGGCAGCAGGTCATCTTGAAATACTCTGCTGGAGTGTTTCTGCCCGGCCGTGTGGTCTCATTTTGCGTTGCATCCTGCCCGGGTTGAGCGGCGGTCGCTGAGGGGCGGTATTTTGGCGTGATCCACGCCCGTACGAGACGACTTGCGCCGACAAGCTTGGTACAAGCGCGACTAGTGGGTAGCGCATGGAACGTGCGGCAAGATGCGTTTTAGCCCATTGGCTTTGAACGGACGACGTGAAAAAGTGACCCTTGCGATGCAGATGGACAGCCGTTCAAAACCATGGCGAGAGCTCGGTAACTGCGGATAAGAGCGACAGGAAATTGTCGCGCTTGGGTTAGGATTTGAGCGGGAAATTGTGTGGTGTCAGCTGTGCGGTCGCTCGTGTTACGTGCCACGCGCACATGAGAAGTCGAGATCCATTCTCCCGTTTTGGAGGGTTTTATGCGTTACATATCTCCGAAGCCATGCCAAATCAAGGCATAAATCGAACTTCAAAGCATTAACCGATGTACCGTCTTCAATTCGTGTTGCAAACGCGACTTTTCGTGACGCACTGTTGTGCCAGGATCCGTCGTGGAGGACAAGGCTGTTGGACTTACACAGGCTTTGTCAAATGTAGCACGTTGGTGTCAAAACTGTCACCAGGGCCGTGACGTGATGTATATCAATGTGCGCTCGAATTCGTTTCCTTCGTGTTCATTTTCTATGTGAGATTTTGTCTGTCTTTCCGCTTCTGAAGCAAATTAAGATTAAGGGCCAAAATCTTTCTTTGTCTGGACGTCATCATGCCCATGATGCATCGTTAAGTGACCGACACCGGTCATATCAAGGAAACGATGGAGTGCGCATGCGCTGTGCGGTGACCGACATCCGGCAGCAGTGTGTTCAGCTTTCATGCGTGTATTTCATCTTGGCCAAAAAGGGATCTACTGTAAAGATCGAATGCAAAGCTCTATTAGTACTCTAGTACTCCTTGCGTGCAAAGTAATGCAATGTATATAATCAATTCAAAGCAGTTGCAGAAACTGTGTGAAAAAGCAACTTGCGAAGCGGGCGGTGAGGGTACTCATGGAAACACACGGTCAGTATGAAGTGAAGCCCTCAGGTACGGGAAACCTGTAGGCACGTTTCTGCAGCGTGTTTTGAGGTCGTTGTAGAGTGCGATAGCCCACAAATATTACTGCATCGTTGATCAGTGACGGCAGCAAAAAAAACCTGGCGCCGGCAATGCTGGCCAGAACGGTTTCCTGGGAACTTTTGGAATGCACGTAGAATCTAACCACAGTGGCATATGGAACGCAACACTGAATTTTGAACATTCACTAGCTCAGACTAGCTAAACGAGTGCATGTTGCTGGCAGCAATGCGTCTTGGATGATTTGTCTTGGTGCTTTTGTATCAGCGCAGTTGTATGTTACGAGTCTCACTGCAGAACTATATGACACGGAATATGTGTGCATTATAAAAGTGCTGTTTCCCTTTTTAATTAACCAAAAATTGCATTATGCTATGGTATGACTATGCTATACAATCAGTGTTTCGTTCTTGCTGCCTATGCAACAACCCGCATCCAGCACACATGCATGATTCGAGGGGAAGAATTAGCCAATGGTGACGGCTCTACGTCAAAGTTGTAAGCAACCACTCAATGCTGCCATGCAGAAAATTCGCATGCAGATTGAGCTTCTTCCTTCGATTGGCATGAACCCCACTACTTGAATATCACCACAACTTGCCTTCTTCTTCGCCGGATATGTCGGCGGCGAAATGTAAGATAGGCTCGGAAGTCCTGCATATAAAACGGAATACGCCTAAGGCAATTCAAAGGCAATCACTACCTTGATTTCAGCATTTTTGGCAGGCATTTTAGGTCTTAATTTACGTCGGTTAGCGTACCTAGCCCGCAACCTCTAGTAACACTCTGTTTTTGAGTTTGCAATGTTTGGAAAACGTTGTTTTTCTGACTGATCGGGCTAAACAAAGAAGCACGGAAGTTAGCACTGTTTTCATTGCGATAACTGCACAGTGTTTGC